CGAAGGCACACAGACCCGATTTGTTGACGGTGTACACGTACAGTTGATGTTTATCGCTTCTAATCGATTTCATTTGACACATTTTAATCCTGTTTTCGAATAAACAGTCTCTATACATTTCGTGTCTTAGGTCATGCTTAATGGTCGTCTTTGCTATACCTTTAGCTACCTGTTTTTCTTTCATGTCGTCCTATTGGACTATGAGATTTTCTATTTCAGTTCTATTTCTCACGGCGTACACGTACGAGTACATTTTAGCACGAAGTCCTACGAATTCTGCAATGGGTTCGCTTCCCGTTTCGTCCTTGAAATATCCCGGTATCTTTTTGTTTTTTGTGTCGTGACAACGATGGCCGATCGGATAATTGGACAGATCGAACAGATGTCTGTCCCGATACATGTCGTCATAGACGTCTGGACATTGGACGTGGTACAAAAGACTGTCCGTGTCCGTCATGAGTAGCTTGATTCCATCTCCATATTTCGGTTTTAGATACTTGTAATAAAACTCGTACATGATACACTTGGACAGATCTAGAATGGTTTGTCCTGCATACACTGGTTTGTTTAGTACGAGTTTGACTTTGTCGTTTTGAACGGCCACTAAATCTTCGTTAAAGATAGTAAACTTTTGAAATGAAGGTCTTGCACCGTACTTTTTAAACTTCATTTCCGTGTGAGCCAGCTTGATGTCGACTCTGGAGCGCACGTTCTCCATCGTCTTACCAAATACGGCATTATTCATGAGTTTAAAGAAATCTTTCTCGAACTCGTTTTTACATGCTGCTCTTTTGGACGTGTTGAACTGTATGTACGGGCGTAACCAAGGTTTCTGTTTGAATTCTAGGATTCTGTTGATTTTGGTGACTTTCAGACCCAATCCCACGTACAACTGCAAATTTCTGTAATTGCAGATGTATTTCGTCTTGTGTTCTAATGTTGGAATCAGTTTTTCTGTCGGTACACGCCCTTGTAATTTGTCATCGGTGTGTTTGGGGTTGGGATGTAAAGTTTTCCATAGCTGTTTACTAGTCGGTGACAATTCTTTGTCAGGGATTTTGTTTCGCCCCGATGCGAGAGGGTAATCGGAATGGCTGTCGTGAAGTTCGTCTGGGTATTCCAGATCTACTTCTAGTACGTAACCAAGGTCTCCGTCTTTGGAGACATTGGTTATGTCAAATGTGTGTGGATTCTCCACCCCCTGAAACCCACCCACGGGTAACGGCTCCGACATTGTCTTCCCGTACAAGTTATTACAATCCGTATATATGATTTACGAGAGTGGTTGGGAGAGGTCGTACATTTCTGGAATGTAAGGATTGTTAGCTTGAGCGTATTTGTTTGATATCATACTAACGCCACCTCTCACTCCGTTTTCAAAGAAGAGATACATGTCTGGATCTCTGATGAGTTCTAACCTCACTCCTGTCATTTTCAAGCCATTTTGCACTCCAAGCCAGACCTGGACTGGTATAGAAGTGAGCTGCATCTAGCCCATAATAATCGAGACACATGTGTCTGAAGTTCTCAAAGACATCGGCCAATAGTAACACGTCCGTCTTGAGGTAGAGGTCGTGATACTGACCGAGGTCTCGAATGTTCAGTTTCTCCCACACGGTCTGTGCATGCGCGTAATCGGCATCTGACACGTCTGATCGGCTCAGCGAACTATATAATTTCTCTTTTGAGGGGAGCTTTTGTTCTGAGAATCTATCGGCAGTGTCTACGTATTCGTAGGGATATATCCCTTTTCTTAGTAGCAATTTGGCTTCTGATACGGTAAACTCTCTAGAGAAGTTTTTGAATTTCGTCAAACCCTCTTTGGCTAGATTTTCAGTCAGAGTCTCTAGACTTTGAGACATGAATTGAAACGAATCTATTGATCTAATATCACCAAGACTAAACGAAATGTACTTTTCTGTATTGTTCGGAATACAATTGATATTGCGTTCTTTAAATTTGCCTAGGCTTTCCGTCAGGATGTGAGCATCGAAACCTTTTAAATTGTGAAAAACACAAGGTATGTGAGTGGGATATTTATACTTCAAATTACATTCGTTGTGAGCGGCTCCGCGAAATTTACCGCTCAAATGACAGTGGTCTCGTACCACATTACTTTCGTTTGTAAAATGTTTTCCACAGATGTGGCACCGAGTACTCTCCATAAAAGACTGCTCGTCCTGGAGAGACATGACTAGCGGTTCTGGGTGACCTAAAATATCTTTAATTCGTTTTTCATCCTTTTTGATACATTCCAAAAATGTTTTTCTAACGTCAGCCCCCCTGTAAATGACGGGTGGTTTGGTATATCTATCTTCCATACACACGATTTGGTATCCGAACCCAGAGGGTTCGAATTTTGTATTCTTAGTCGTGCTTGAAAGGTCTGGGTTTGGCTCACAGGAGTCCATTTTCTCTACAAATGTTTCGAAATCAGCATAGATGACGAAGGGTACTTTCATTTGTTTCTTAAAGTCCTTAAACGATAAGAGAGCATCGTCTTCACTGGGGAATTCTACTCTCTGCGTTCTGTGAGTGGAACACAGTTCCACGTGTTTGTTTAACAGAACGTTACTCGTGAAACCTTGCAGGCAATGCTGACAAAAATGTGTCAGATTATGTGCTTTTTTCGTTCTGCTCAAAAACACGTTTAAATTGGGAATCAAACAGTAATGTGTTTTCACACCTTCTTGTAAAAAGAGCAGATTGACGTGATGACGTGACCGTTTCGTCTTCGTTACATAAATGGGATAGATGGTTTTATCCTCGATCCCAAACAGGTTTAGCGATACGTGGTTCTGTGCTTCAAATTTACCGATTTGAGAGATGGAGACGGGATACCTGTCATAACTAGTTCGCATTCGTACTTCTCGTAATGAGACACGCGTTCGGGTAGGGTATTGATGGGATGGAGAGACGACAAAACCGACCATATGAAGCACTTTTCGTCACGATTAAAGATATTGATCAAATGATGTCTGTGAAAAGTGGATGAAGTCGGTATGTAGGAAGAACCATTCAAGGGTGAGTAATTTGCAACATGTATTTCTAATTTGATAATTTTCTTGAGTACCCATGCAGACCCTTTACGAACGAATTCCTCAAACGAAGCAAACATTTTCTGATAAGCTGTATTTAGATCAGACTCATTTGGCATTGATATGTATGCTTTACTCAAGAAATGAGGGATGGTCTGTTCTACATTACCTTCTCTAGTTTCCTTTTCCAACGACATACGAATGTTTAGATACCATTTAACACCATTTAACCTCTCACACAACCGTTTTAAATGTTCCATCACTTCCGTTTTGGAGCTGGCAAAAAAGGTGAGTATGTCACTATTGTCACTGAAATTTGGATATATGCTTCTAACGTTAGCATTTCCTCCTAAACTCACATCATCCGAATCGGTATGTTCTACAGATGGCTGAACACCGGAAGGTCCCGGCAGTGCCGACTGAACACCGGAAGGTCCCGGCAGCGGCGACTGAACACCGGAAGGTCCCGGCAGCGGCGACGGAACACCGGAAGGTCCCGGCAGCGGCGACTGAACACCAGAAAGTCCCGGCAGCGGCGACTGAACACCGGAAGGTTCCGGCAGCGGCGACTGAACAACGGAAGGTCCCGGCAGCGGCGATTGAACACCGGAAGGTCCCGGCAGCGGCGACTGAGCACCGGAAGGTCCTGGCAGCGGTGACTGAGCACCGGAAGGTCCTGGCACCGGTGACTGAGCACCGGAAGGTCCCGGCAGCGGTGACGGGACACCGCAAGGTCCCGGCAGCGGTGACTGAGCACTGGAAGATAATGTTGTTTTAGTTCTAGACTTCTCAGGTAATCGAATATCAGAAGGATTAGTATTAGGGAGATCTCCACCAGTCGATCCGTGACTTTTGTTCACGTGCGTTTTCATAGTATATTTCCTTGTAAAGGACTTACCGCACACGTGACATTTGTATGAACACTGATTTTTGTGCAAATTCATGTGTCTCTTTAAGTTGCTTGGATCGTTAAACACCTTTCCACACACTGTACATGTCGATTGACGATAGTGTCTATTCATGTGCGCCTTTAGTTTCTTTTCGGTAAGACATTGTTTCCCACACACATCACAAGTTGTCACATTTTGTCTATCTTCAAGTACGTTATCTTCACTTCTGGGTTTTTTCGCAGGAGATAAATCTACAGAGTTTAATATTCTTATTAAGTTCCTCACTGTTTGTATTGCATTTTCGTCACCACATGACACCGAATCGAGTAAATCATCAAAATATTGTGCTGCCATGTTTCTGGTCTGCTGTATGTCCTATTTGTTTGAGTTTTATAGCTTGAATGACAACCACTTGCGTTTCATCTGTTTAAGGTTGCTCTCAAATTGAGGAGGCGTGGTCTTCACAGACAGTTTTCCACCTCGCTGACTTTTTGCTTTTCTGCGCATGCCCCGTCTGAGTGATGTGGCACTATCTCTCTGATTGGTTGATTCTGCACTGGACTTTCCCCTGGACTTGTTCATTACGTCAGACGGTGCTGAGGTAACATCATTTTCCGATTTATTAGAGTTAGCACTTGGTGGGGTCGTAGTGTCGTCATTTCCTGATTTATTAGAGTCAACATCTAGAGGGGTGGTTGATGAATCGTCTAATTTCTCGTGTCTGATGATGTCGTCGTATGTTGTCTTTGGTATCAATATCATTGCTCTAGCCATATCAGGTAATTTCTAAAGAATACGGGTAATATTTTACTCACTGCAAGTAGTCTCCGTCTTCTCTGCCGCCTACTAATTCCTCCTACCAACACCTTGCGTATGACCACTTTGTGTTTAGCTATATTCTTTTTATCCTCGTCAGGAATGGAAATGTTATCTGTTGCTACGTTATGAACTATTTCTATAATAAATTTGAGTTGTGGGTCTGTTAGCGTCAACAAAATGCCTTTCTTCTGTTTGTCCGATGCTATCAGCCAGAAGTCGACTAAACTTTTCATTGTTTTTTAGGGAAATACAACACCGTGTCCTCTCCCGGTAAGATCCTGGTTCGAAGTGGCGGCACTTCGGAACGCAGGTCGATGATATTTACGTCTGGAGTCGAAGGTGAGACATCGATTAATAGATAACCGAATCTTTTTGACGTTGCCAACTGATAGGCTTCTCTGGAATAAGCGCTCTGTCTAGGGAATATCTGCCGTCCCAATGTCTCTACTTGTGATTGATCTCTATAGTTTCTAAATAATATGAAATATTGTGTATTCAGACTCGGAGTTCTCATGACTTTTCCTTTCTGAAATACGTTCTGTACTAAAAACATGACTGTAAAGTTTTGATGGTGAGATTTTACGCAAAACATCTTCATCAGATGTGGACTGTCCACTCCCTCTGCCATACAGTCGTTAGTCACCAATAACTTATGACCTTGTATATCTCCCCATTCGCTAAATGGGTCTTCGTTTGGTAAACCTTGATGGAACGTGATTTCTCTCAAGTTTCGCCTTAATACGTCAAACGTGGGCTGCCATGTGTCGTAACAAAGAATGATCTTTTGGGGTATTTCGCTAAACATACCTTCTGCATTCTCCAATATCATTTTGGTCAGAAATGTTTTTCCTGAACCGGATGCACCACATACCATGATTCTACACGGAGATTGAAACTTGATGAGACTCTCTCTGCTATACCACGCCATCGTAGCAAATGAAGACACAAGTACAAATCTTTGGTATTTACATTTTATTTCAGAATATAAATTTTATGTATACAGTCGTTTCTATTTACAATTCGGTACAACATGTCTAATGAGTACACGCATGATAAAAACAGTAAGGAAACGAGTTTTGTATGTATTCGTAAACGTAACTGTCATTTGCTTTGAAATCCTTTCCGACTTGTTTAAGGGTTGATTCCATTGTTTCACCTCTACAACGATTCAACAGGTAATACAAGCAGTATTGACCACACACTCTCGACGTGTTACTCTGCAATCGCCTTTCATTGTAGCTGTTCGCTTCAAAAGAAAAATAACTAGGTAAATGTCCATAACTGTCAAAGAATTCCTTCTCGTCTTTAGATTCACAATAGAATGCCACCCAGTGTCTTCCTGGACTATCGCTATTGTCCGCATTAACGATGTAACCGACTGGAAATGATCGTATCTTACCCGGTACCTCGTCACGATCGTAAACCCCCATGACTCTTTTTCTCATTACAGAATCGCAGTCTATGGCGCAACGCAGCTGTGAAGTATTCATGGTAACACTATATCCCTGGCAGCGTTGATTTCGAAGTAGCCCGGATATTCACTGTAAATGATGCAAGACACAGCCGCAGTAAATGCCGTTCCAAAGATGACCTCTAGTCTAATGTTTCCCTGTTTAAGCAAGGTGAGATATTGATTGGTTTGAAAGGTAGGTTCCAATTCGAAGGTGTAGAGTGCATATCCTTTAGCAATGTCGTCACTTTCTATGTCAGAACCTGCATCGTTGAGCCATTTCCACGTCGATTGTAACATGTTCCTCAGAACGGAAATGGTGGTTTGACCACCGGTCGCACCGTATTTGAGTTTTAAAGGGTTGCCACCCACCGGTATTCCGTCGACGTAGAGTCCTATAGATGTGACGTCATAAGGTTGGAAAAACCAGGGGTTCTGTCCGTAGTCACCGGTGGTAGCGGTGGCGTTTACAAATCCAACTACCACCAGATTTGGTCTCATGCCTTGAAATATATTATCGTATTAAAGTTTGTCGTCCCGGCAGGAATGGTCATCTGCTTGACCATGGTCTGTGTAAACGGGTATTTGGCATTTGTCACTTCTAAAGCTTGACTTTGTGCATAGATGACGGCTGGGTTGACCTTGACTTTGCTCACGCGCAGTCGAACGATACAATTTGATGTTGACGTTGACTTGATTCAATAGATACCTGTCCATCTTGAACAAATCGTGATAGAGCGGGCCGACCAGGTCTACCACCTTCCCACCTTGAAACTTCTGAGCCCTTTCTAGCAACGCTCCGTTTGAACCCGTTCTATGACTGTGTTCATCCATGTCTCCCACGTCGTCCCGAATCCTCATCTGAATAGTCAATTGGGTCGTCTTTGCTTCTTTACCATATTTCAGGAGACTCTGTATGTAGGCCGTGTAAGGGTAATGGCTGGTCGTAGACACGATGGTCTTCCCCTGTAGGGTAACGTCCACTTGCGAAAATAAAGAAGGTAAGAACAAATTGACAGGTCCCACGTCTTCAGTAACAGCTATGACGCTTCCGTCCGCTTTCGTTATTTTTACCTTAGCATATATCAAAGTGTTTCGAAAATCGATCAATTCCAATCCGTTCTGTCCGGAAACGACGAATTCCACAACGGAATCGCTCTTAATCTGTGATATCGGTAACACGTCTTGATAGTAAAGGTTTTCTACGGCTGTCTATGTAGGTGGAAGGTCAAACACGGCTAATTCTGACGGTTGTGCTTCTCTGAAAATTTCTTTGTTTAACGCAGCCATTGCGATATTTATTCCTTTTGTTCTTTTTTACCGATTTTCTGTTCACTTTACTCGCCTTTCGTTTTGTCTTACCTGCTTCCTTTTACTTGCCTTCCGTTTTGCTTTACCTGTTTTTGGTTTCTTCAGGTGTGCCCGTGAAGTGTGTATTCGTCGACGCTTTCTGGTAGACTGACGACGATGTGGAGTTCGTTTCCTTTTCATCTCAGATTTAGCTTGTTCTACGGCTTATTGAGCTGGAGAGACCATGCTTACGTTAACCTCTCGTGCAGGTAAAGATTTTTCTCCCTCTCTATCGGTTTTGTCTATTGGAATCATGAATTCGCTTGAATTCTGTGACAATCCTCCACCGAATTGCTTCACGTTACGTTTCGTATTGCTCACATAGGCATTTTCCTTTCCGCGTGCCACCTCTTGGTAATACTTTATCCATTTTCCCACGTTAGGAACGTACATCTTTGTAACATTCATGATAGAAAAGGGTATTGTTTAAAGTGAAGCGTAATCGTCGCCTGATCTTTTAAGAATGAAACCAGATCACCTTTATCTGTCTTTATGTAAAATTCCGTGTCTCTCACTTCCGACTTTTTCACAGGTACGTAGTATTGAACGTCGAACGATTGCGACCAGTTGGCTACCTTGACGGTTCTGATGGGGTGGAGAAGAGTTTCCTTTTCACCGTCGACGATGCTTTCGTCACACACGTCACTGTGTACGTATAAGTTCTGTCTCGTCTTTGTCCCAGTCGTACTTAACGTTATGTCCATCAACGCCACCTTCCAAGTTCCGTGTAGATTTAGCGGTGTTTGGAAGTGTGTGCCAAATTGGTAAGGTTTGTTTTTTGAAAAGTATTTCTCACTTCCGTCACTGTGGATGACCACGTAATGCGACATCTTAGCCTTTGGTTATGTCACTGATGTCATTCTCTGCTATCCACTGGTTATATTTAGACGGCCACCCTTCAAATTTGACGAACCATTTGATCCGACCTGCTCTCTTACGTTTTTTTAATTTTTCTTCTATATACCATAAGGCATTTTCGTCCTTGTCCACTCTCTGTAGTTCGGACTGATAAAAATTCCCCGTGATCGACTCGGTTAAAAAGTCGATCAATTGGTACTGTGGTATGCCTTGACGTAAGAAACGTTTCTTGACCTTGAAGATTTCTGAAGACCATTGCTGTTGATAGGCTCTCGTAAACATGTAGGCAAACAGAGCGGCTTCGTTTGTTTTGTTTACGTCTTTGGGGGGTATACCGCTTAACGATCTATGAGGTGTGGCGTTGTAATTCTTAACGAAATCTTGCAATTTGTCTGCATATACATAAGTTCTGTACTTTGTGAAATATCTATACATCATGCTCTTTAACGTCCTGATGAAACGCCCGACCATGGCGGCCTCCTTTTTGTTACGACTAGTAAAGTATTTAATGTCATTGTCTTTACAATATTGTCTCATCAGGTTCCCCATAAATTCTTTACCTGCATCGGTATACAAACGTTTTGGGTTTTTTGTGCTATCGATTATCTTTTTAAATGCATCTAACACTTCTTTCGTCGTTTTGGTCTTTGTAGGTTGCACCCATAAGAAACGGCTGAATACGTCTATGACTACAAGGAGGAACCTGATACCGTCATTTTGTTTGGTGATGTTCGATACGTCTGCAAGATCAGCTTGAAATTCTTCGTATGGACCGGAGACTTCCACTCGTGCTCTGTTGAAAGAACGCTTGACTGTTTTTTGTAAACTATAATCGTCCAGACTCTGTATATATCTTCTGATCTTATACAGACCTGGTGAAGTGATTCCACGAGATTTCAGTACTTGGTGAACTTTCGTCGGACTCAGAAATGCGCCTCCGTTATTAAAATTGTAATATACTCAGTCTACAAGACGCTTCTCTTCCTTGGTCAACATATTAAATGAGACAAAACATTTATGTGCAATCTTTTATTACATTATTTACATTATTACATGATTTACAATCATTGTTTCATAGTAAGTTATTTTTTACACTGTTTTGTGGAACCAGTCTTCTACGCGATTCATGGAACGAACCATTTTACGGATGCAGTCTTTCCATTTTTCTGTTTTGAGTTCGTTCATTCTCCATTCGGCATTACACAACCGCGATATGAAGGCGTTTCTGAAGCTTCTTTCTGTGTTAAATCGAACAGTTTCTCTGATAAAGTCTCTAATCACTATGATGTCATCTAACTGAATAAAAGTATCTTTAATACCACATTGTCTTTCACTCATGATTTCACGGACATGGTTTGCATATGTCAGGTGTAATAAGTTCTCCATTTTGACGACTTCTGACGATTTCATTTCACTTTCCATGTTAGCAGCCTGGAGGGTATGGTAAATCAGAATGGTAATCAATACATTCTATAGAAAAGTTTTTATGTTTCCAATATTTCAGTGTTTTCCCACACTTATAACAAGTAACGTAATCGTTGAAGCCTTCGTAAAAAAATCCATCACAAGCTAGCTGATGAGGAGTCTGTCGAATCTTACAATCCCACTGAGCGAACGTCAACATTCGATCGGTACAGCCCGTCATGTGTGGGTGAACTGGGCGGGTGATATCAATGTTCATCTATAAGTAGAATGAGCTATAAGTCAGATGAATAGGTATGTCTGAACTTTACCGATTTTCTTCACGTATTTCTTTATCTTTTCACTATAACTTTGTTTCACGTAGTTCTCGTTCCTCAAACATTCTTCTTGCATCAGGCGTTGTAACGTACCTAAAGGTATACAAGATTGTATGGTGAACTCACGCCAAGTATTTTCCACTTCCGAATGATTAGTATAGGTTAATGCTTCGTCAAAATGTAAGTCTATAACGACAGCATCGGAATACATCAAACATTCATGTTCATGGGGACTAGCTCGACGATTCTCACAACCTAAACATACGAATAGTTCCGTTATTTTTGATTTTACAACGTATGCATAAGAGAGACACAGCAGATTTTTTAATATTCTTCGATAGGCCTTTTCTTCGGTTTTTTCGATGAAATAATTCTGCAAACTTTTAGGAAACAAATCTGTGTTTAATTCCATTACGACATGGTGGTGAGGTGGTCTGGTATTTAAATCATAAACATCATCTGTTGAAATAGGCAGTCTTTTGACCACCTTATGTGTTCCGTTTTGATATCATCGAAATAGTTCCAATTTTTTAAAGTGACTCCACACATGAAACACGAAACACGATCTTCTATTCCCATATAGAAAAACCCATTACTTGCCAGTTGATATGGGGAATGATGGTGATGTTTTGGCCATTTAACAAACGTATCTGCACGGTCGCAACATTTGGTTAAGGATGGGTGACGTGGACGTATGATAGGTAATGAATGACTTACTATACAGCTGTCTTTGATGTTGTCCATGTTATTTTTCTACAAATGCACAGATACACCACAAACTCTCTGATAAAGTCAAAAGTTTCTTTAAAAATTCTCCCGATAGTCTCGTTCTCTTTCCCTCTTCAATCAGACAAATTCTAAGCTCACCTTTAAGTTTTCTGATGACGACTTCCTATATAAGGCTGAGTCGACAAACTACTCTGTTGGATGAAATGTCTGTTATACTGATGTCTTCTTTCTTGATTTGATCGATGTGAGCTTGAGCCATTGAAATGAAGTATGTTGAAAACGCTCCACTTTATACGATTACATACTGGACCTCCCCTGGACTTTTCCCTAACTGGACCTTCCCATTGCTTTAACATTAACATGGACCTACACTTGACCTATGTGGACCTACATGGACCTACATGGACCTACATGGACCGTTTCGCCTATTTTGTCCGTTGTTATTTTTTTTTAAAGTTAAAATGCTGCATATGGTTACAAAGCTGACCAGGCTGTGAGAGTAACTTGCTACGTATTAAGCGGTTATAATGTAGGTCGCGCACTGGTTTGACACAAACTCGTATGGACTTCACATGGACGGTTTATTACATGGACCTAGACTGGACCAATTCTATAGCATGGACCTTCCCCCCTTCCATTGCTTTAACATCATCTCTATACTGGACTTTTCCCCCTTGCTTTAACATTAGCATGGACCTACACTGGACCAATTCTATAGCATGGACCTAGACTGGACCGTCTCCCCCTTGGTTTAACATTAGCATGGACCTACACTGGACCTACATGGACCGTTTGTTCTTCCTAAAATACATCTACTCACATCTGTGGTATAACGTGAAAAGCGGCGAAGCTCAGCTGAAGTTATCACTGGGAGCAGGTAACGAGGCAAGTTCCGGATTGACGATAGACATACCGGGAGGATATTATTCATCGACGAAAAGAGTGCTGAAGTACGTGGATAAAGCTAAGAGAATGATTTTCTCACGGCGATCGGTTTAGCTTTCACGTCCACGAACACGCTCACAAAGTAAGGCTTCACATTACCAAAGGCATGCACGTATACCTCACTCGGGCTTTAAGCGAAATGCTCGGTTTTAGAAAACAAGAATTCGCGGACGGAACGCACACGGCGGAATTCAATGGTGACGTTCGAAGAGGATTTTATCCTCTGTACGCTTACTGTCATCTCGTCGAATCCAGAATGGTCGGAGATACGAGAGCTCCACTACTACGCATCGTTCCGATAGAAGGCACACATGGCGACACGGTCTGTAAAGTATTCGATCCCGTACACTACGTACCTTTACAACAACGTCAATTTCAAGAAGTGGAACTCACGCTGAGAGACGACACGGGCGCACCCGTACCGTTCGAGACCGGCAAAGTAGTGATGACTCTACATTTCAAAAGAAGATCCTTAGACTTTCCCTAAAAATGTTATATATACGATTCGAAACGACAGTAATCAACATATCAAAAACTTTCAAGATGAGACATCCTCCACACAGAAGCGATCCTTACGTGTTCGATCGGCATTATCTCGATCAAGCCGGAAGCGGAAACAACGTTTTCGCCGGAAATCGAATGCAGAGAGGTCACGATCTTGGTTTGATATTCAGCGGTTTATTTAAGGCTGCAGCCCCGTTGTTAAAAAGAGGTGCGAAGGCATTAGGAACACAGGCTTTGAAAACGGGTATGGAAATAGCAGGCGACGTCATAGACGGCAAGAATATCAAAACTACAGCGTTCTCTAGGGCTCGCAACGCCGGAAGTGAATTGAGAAACCGCGCGTTAGACAACGTCAGAGAAGGTCCGCCGGGACGACGTCGAAAATCAAAACGTAACAAAAAGGGAAGAGTCGACTATTTAGATGATTAGGGGCAGAAAAGTGTATAAATAGAAACTATATGTAGCGATTTTCCGTTCGTCCGCGATTAAACTTCTCAAGGCATAAGTCATGTCGTTAGTTCATCCGAATTCGTGCGAGTGCGCGAAATCCGAATTGGATCTGTTTGACGTACCTCCCACTCAGACGAGTGTCGAAGACGGCTACTGGCAACAGATCGGTACGGTGACGTCGGTCAACGACGGAGGTCCATACACGTTTAAGATATCTGGATCCGGAGAAGATTACCTAGACCTGGGGAACACAAACCTATTCGTGAAAGTAAAGTTGGTAAAGAAAGCCGACGGTACCGCCCTAGAGGATGATTCGAACGTAGCTCCGACGAATTTATTCTTACATTCGCTGTTCAATAACGTGAGCGTCAGTCTAAACGAAAGGCTGGTGTCTCCACCCGAAAATGCCTATCCGTACAGAGCGTACATCGAAACCCTGTTAAGTTACGGGCCCGCAGCTAAAGACTCTCAACTGACAGGCGCCATGTGGCACAAAGACACCGCAGGTAAAATGGACACTCAGGGCAACGAAAACTTGGGATACGTCGCGAGGAAAGCGATGACGGCAGGAAGTCGCACCGTCGATTTGATGGGGAAAATCCATGCGGACGTGTTTGCACAAGAACGGTACTTAGTCAACAACGTCGACGTGGAAATAAACATGTCACGCAGTAAGGACGTGTTCTGTCTCAATGCAGCGGACGACACGTTTAAAGCAGTCGTGCAAGATATCTGTCTGTACGCAAGGAAAGTGCGTTTGAATCCGACCGTTCGCCTTGCTCACGCAAGAGCTATGGAAAAAACTCCCGCCAAGTATCCGATACGGAGAATAGAAATGAAAGTGACGTCCGTGCCTCGAGGTAACATGTCTTTACCAAGGACAACCTGTTCATAAAACAGATGCCCAAGAGGATCGTCCTGGGTATGTTCGACACGGACGCGTTTAACGGTACCGCCACCAAAAATCCTTTCAATTTCAAACACCACAAGGTCGATTACGTGTGTCTGAATGTGGACGGTAAACAAATTCCCGCCAAGCCATTACAGTCGGACTTCACGAACGGTCAGTACGTACGTAGCTACATGAATCTCTATACGAGCACAGGTAAAATTTACCACGACGAGGGAAACAACGTGCTCGAGAGGAATTCGGGAAAGGATACACCCTGTTCGGATTCGACCTCACGCCCGACTTGTCGGAGATGGGCACATTTCATCTCATAAAAAGCGGAAACATGAGTCTACACCTTCAATTCAACGAAATTTTAACATCGACGGTCAACGTCATAGTGTATGCAGAGTTTGACAACATCATAGAAATCGACCGTAACAGACAGATTTTATTCGATTACAGCGCATAATGAATACCATTCAAATAGATTCCATCTTGAAAAAAACCTGTCCTCATTTCAAAGGCGTGGCGTGTACGCCAGAAACAGATTGCCGAGACGATTAAACGTGCCGTGTGCACTCGTGTGTAATACAGATCCCGATACACTTGAGGGTAACACTGGATTGCAGTGCGCATAGACGATAAAGGCCACGGAGAATATTACGATCCCTTCGGATTTCCGCCGACTAACAAAGTATTCACTAAGTTCATGGACAGCCAGTGTCGAAGTTAGACGTACAACGACGCTAGAGTACAACACTTCCACTCGATAGTGTGCGGGCAACATTGCATTTTCTACATAGTTCAGAGATGTAAAGGAAAAACGATGTCCGACATAACGTCCTTATTAAAAAAAGACTTTCATGCCAATACGTATTTCGTAGACGACTTCGTTAGATCGCTCGTTTCGTGATGTCTTCGTTTTCCAACAAATCAATGAGATGACGGGAGGGTTGCTTATGAAAATGATAATCAATCAATATATAAAATAAAAAGAAGAAAAAAACAAAAACAAAAACAAAAGAAAACAAAATACAAANAAAAAAAAAAAAAAAAAAAAAAAAAAAAACCCCCCCCCCCCCCCAAAAAAAAAAAAAAAAAAGCGGGCAACAATGAGTCAGTTGGTCACTGATGATACCGCCGACTATGATCGGATAATACGGGGGGAAAAACCCGGGGGACCCGTAGCCATGTTCTTGATTGTCCTGTTTTGTGACTAAAATTGAACCAATCATAAGCCTTGTTATAAAAAATAGCCAATCAAAAGCCTCGTTACAAAACGAAAATTCCGATAATGGTTTGAAGGATTCTATACAAAAAATAAAATAAAAAATAAAAGTGACGACGACGCGCATCGAACGAACCCACGTCTACACGTCACCGTGTACTAAGGCCTAACGTTCTAACCACTGCACTGTGCGGGTTTGAGTTAACAGAGGTAACAAAAAGTTTTGTTGCTCCGATATCGATCGACGATAGTGACGTCACGGTCGTGACGACCGTGACGTCATCTTAAGCTTCCCGTACGATTCTGGTTTCAGACTACACACTCTTCAAGCTTATGCAGGCTATCCGACTTCCACCGCCAACACCTATTAATACAACGGCATCAGACACGTACAGGAAGGAACGACAAAACATATCAAACGACAAGGAGCGCAATACGAAACAGCATCGTCAAAGAATGCATAGACAACGACGTGCAAGCGGCCAATATTCAGTATTCGTTTGTATTCCATCTATGTCCATATGTCAGTCCCTCCATCTATGTCCATATTTCAGTCTTTCCATTTATGTCCATATGTCTGTCCTTCCATCTATGTCCATATGTCAGTCCTTCCATCCATGTCCATATTATGTCAGTCCTTCCATCTATGTCCATATGTCAGTCCTTCCATCCATGTCCATATTATGTCAGTCCTTCCATCTATGTCCATATGTCAGTCCTTCCATCCATGTCCATATTATGTCAGTCCTTCCATCTATGTCCATATGTCAGTCCTTCCATCCATGTCCATATTATGTCAGTCCTTCCATCTATGTCCATATGTCAGTCCTTCCATCCATGTCCATATTATGTCAGTCCTTCCATCTATGTCCATATGGCAGTCCTTCCATCCATGTCCATATTATGTCAGTCCTTCCATCTATGTCCATATGTCAGTCCTTCCATCCATGTCAATATGTCAGTCCCTCCATCTATGTCCATGTCAGTCCTTCCATCTATGTCCATGTCAGTCCCTCCATCTATGTCCATGTCAGTCCTTCCATCTATGTCCATGTCAGTCCCTCCATCTATGTCCATATGTCAGTCCTTCGTATTTCTTTCAGTTCAAACCACGCAACAGCATTACCTGTTAGCATTGATGAGCGAGGAAGATCAACATTATTTTTTATTTGAGAAAAGGCATTCAGATTTATTTAATACGCTTGCTTATTTAAGCAACAACTTGTAAATAAAGAATTATATTATATTGTAAATAAAGAATTATATGTTGTAAAAAAAAAAAACATAGCTTCGTGCATCTGTGGGGGTTTCGAATTATACACAGAGCCCCTCATTTTCACGTCGACATGATTGCAAACAATCTACAGAATGGAAAAATCACAACCGGAAATACCAGAAGAGTCGAGAGAGTGTTTCTACTAATATTTATTGAGTATATGTACAATGAAATGCATTATGCTTCTTTCTTTTTGCTTCTTTTTTTTACCCACAAGGTCCAGTGCTCGTGTGAAGACCCACGGCTGTGCATACCTAAAAACAGAAGGGAAGTATTTAAGATACAAGGGCGATAATCCTGTGATTACCTCAAAATTGGTGACGCCACAATCAAAACACACATGATGATATGTATGAATGTGGGCCGTAGGTTCAGCGGGGTTGCTAAGGACGGCCGCCATCTTGGATCCGTCATCTTGTTGATTGCTTAGGAAATCCGACATCTTGGATTCAAAATGGTTGCTAGCAACCATATTGAAATTTTGAATCCAAGATGGCGGATTCCCTTAGCAACCAACAAAATGGCGAATCCAAGATGGCGGCCGTCCTTAGCAACCCTGCCCCATATCGTCGTCACTTCATCACCTGCTGATCTGTTGAACAAGACATAGCAACTAGTCTCGGCGTTGATTTACCCGATACTACCCAATACAAGTGTCGATTTACCCAATACAACCCAATACAAGTGTCGATTTACCCAATACTATCCAATAAAAGTTAAATTTATATAATACAAGAACAGATGGTGTGCGGACCCGGGTATTTTTTTGGCAAAGTCGTCGTTATTTGGAATTACTTAATTGAATCTATTTCATTTCAAAATATTTCATTGTTAATACAAACAAAGATAAATTCATACAATTATTACAGAGGAAATATAACGGTACATGTATTAACAAAGGGATAGACAACTGCTTAGCATATAGCAATCTTTCCTATAGATACCGATTTCCAATAATTTTAATTTCGTAAATAAATTTAATTTCTGGTTGGTAGACAGGACAATAACGGAAATAATGAAAGAACACATACTCACTCATTCTCATACCGCCATTCGTAATTGGTATATTTTATATCGTTAGAACTTGCATACATGTAAATAAAGATATTACTTATAAATTGAGAATCGTTTAGTATTTTTAAATAGGAACTAGAGTATGAGTATATTTTATTAGTTTCGTTAGACATACCAACCACACCATGTAATAAAGCATGAAGATTTACAAAACCTAATAGATTATACAGAGAGAAGATGTGATGCCTAAAATGCCTACAAAGAGAACACTCGAAGAACACTCGAAGAAAAGGTACGTTGTATTTTCTATATTTTCACCACATGAACAGGAACTCGAGCTATGTTACATTCACGAATGTAAATATTTGTATTCAAGTTTCGTTGTTCTTGTTTTTGTTATACGCCCGTCAAATTTACCGGGAGTATTATGGTATGGGATTGTCCGTCCGTCCGTTGTCTGTCAGGCATACACTTTTGTTTGTCCGGCAATCTCCTCCTACATTTTTGGACTAATCTCTTTGAAACTTGGTATACATCATAATCATGATATGAAGTTGTGTTTCCCTTAACAGAAGTTTGATTCGACATTTTTTCCAAAAGTTATTGCCCTTTGTTTATTTCAGTATTTGATTTTTGTCCGGCAATCTCCTCCTACATTTTTCAACGGATCTCTTTGAAACCTGGTATACATTATAATCATGATATGAAGTTGTGTCTCCCCTAAAATAATTTTGATTCGACGATTTTTGCAAAAGTTATTGCCCTTTGTTCATTTCAGTATTTGATTTTTGTCCGGCAATCTCCTCCTACATTTTTTATAGCATGTCAGCTAACCACTCTTAGAATGATGCAGATCTTATTTCAATGTAAGAAAGTATATAACACTATATTACATTCGACGGGCGTATATTCTTTTTATTCTATTCTTGTTTTCTTTTTAATTTAGTTACCATTTTGATGAGATTTTAATCTTTTATTATTTCCAGGTAATTGAGTGGTTCCAGGTATATAAAATGTATGCTTATTTTTGTCTCAATGACTATTAATTCTATTAAGAACTACAAATAATTTTAAAACGAGAGTTATTTCTTATCAAGATGATTATTTGAAGCCCAAATTTAAAAACGAGGATTCTTTATTATCAAGATGATTATTTTAAGCCCAGTTTTTCTTTTTTCCTAACGTGAAACTATCCGAACATGTTTATGTAATTATCAGTGATTTCATTTGTAAAGCCGATGGAAATCATAAAGTTACACATCTGTATTTGTCTTTTTAAATTTGGTGAAATTCGTATGATTTTAAGACATATTATTGCCTTTTGGAGTTGCAGAAGTCTAAATTAACTTGGACATCAATGTGCTAGAATAACTTATGGATAGTTGTTCTAAGTATTGTTCTCTCAAAATACGATGACACTTGTTCTTTTGTATTTAATTGCATTTTGGAGTCTCATAAGTCATAATTCACTTTGACAACAATGTA